AACTGTTACTCACCAAATCAAAACTCTTCACACACATTTTACACTAAAATGTAAGAGGAAGAACGTTAGTTCTGGTAGTTTTTTAGTCATTAATTCAATGTTGTAGAACTATGGTAAATAAAGTTTGTACGGTCACAATGTTATTTCACTGAACTTATTGCTTTCCTTGCATGATGAATAATAATAATAATCAAAAATAGTTATATAATATATAATATACATATAAAGTTCTAATATATAGTTATAATGTACAGTAATATACTAAAATGGGCCCTTCACTATAACAAGTAGTTTTGTTTTTGATATTTTAAATACACTTAATGATGCTGATAATACTTTTACTGGAGTGACATTTTCATGTGGTAATATTACTTTTACTACATAAAAAGTCTGAATATTTGTTATGTAAGTACATTTCCAAGTACTTTTCTATTACTTTATACTTCTACTCCACAGCAGTTCAGAGGCAAATATTAGACTTTATCTGATAACTTTAGTAAGTAGTTACATTGCAGATTCAGATTAGTAATACAAAATATGACCTACAAATAAATGATGGTCTATTATTATTGTTTTTAAGACATTGTTTTGAGGTAATTAGAATGACTTATATATATATATATATATATAGCCTTTTCAATAATATGGAACTTATTCTGCAAAATGAGTACCGCCAATCCTTTTGTACTTTTACTCAAGTAAACCTTTTGTATTTCTATTCCTAGTAAAGGATTTATTTTAGTGCTTTTTCTACCACTGGTGAACGTGCCCTTTATGGTACAAACACACAGTCCCATCTACCGCCATTGGAGGGCGCCAGAGGACCAGGTAATAACCAGTATTGAGGCGTTTATTGATTTCCAACATTTAGGAAATTATGTGACACAAACTAATTGACTAACTAAATACAGCTGTGGTTATCTCATAGCGAGGCATAATCTGTGATGTGTTAAATAAAACTATAGTTTACTATAGTGGAGAATATGTGTGACAACCAGATGCTCCTGAAACTAAATTGGCACAACTGATAATTACTAATACTTAACCAGTTAATAAAATAATGTCTGCCATAAACAAACGATATCACTGTGCCACGTTCACCCAGCTCACTCTTGTATTTTCTTGGCACGGCAAAGTGTCGTAATGAAGAAAACGCTTCCCAACACAAACCCTCTCACATATCTTGCGTAAAAACGCGAATAAAAGCGAGCCCACTCGTGAAAGTTGAACTTATTCAACTTGACTCTGGTGTTTCACTCGAAACTCTTCTCGTCACCCTCCCCGTCGACGTTACGTACGCTGCCGTGGCGTGCCTGCAAGCCAAATAACATGGAGTCCTCAGTCTGGCATCTTCCAGGGATCCCTGCACAAACCCAGGGCAGCGATTAAAAGAGCAAGTTTGTCCATGGGAGCCGTCGGAGCCGCTGGCGAGCATCGTCTCGGGGCGTAAAAGCTTCAGCTCCGTCCCGAAACTATGACGAACGGTGCTTGAACAGCCAGCCTTTCACTGCGATCCGCAAACCAGGCCGATTTCAGTGAGTATTTGCACTATAAAAAAAAAAGAAAAAAAAAAGAAAAGAAGCTGCAGCTCATGGGCGTTTGGGCTTTTAAAGGGCATTGTGCGCCGATGTTTTGTTGTTACAGTCAGCTGACAGCGACTGGATCGATAGCGGCCACGTCCTCTGAAGCAACAGAGGCCAAACCCGTGGGACACCTTGAGGTACCCGGGCATTTTGCTGCTTTTTAGAGGGGCAGCATAGGAGGACATGGGCCTGAATATAAAGGCCACTTATTTATGTAACCATTTGGGCGCCCTATTTCATTCTTTAAGGCCAGACATATTGTGAAAATAGGTCAGACAGTCCGAAAACTGCAGCTGGCAAAAAAAAAAAAATAAAAAAAAAATACTGAGGACAGCCAAAACACGACAGATTCTGCAGATTTGACACTTTCATATTGTCTGATAAGCCTTCTGATTCTTCCTCACAAAAACATGTTGTATGCAGGTTACTACAGTGAGCAGTAGTGGGTGAAACTTCTAACCCCCGAGAAACTTTTCATTTGTCCGTGTGTGTTCATGTTTCCAGAAGAAGAAGAGACTGCACAATGTAGGCAGGCTGGTCATCAGTGGGACGCCATACTGTTCTCTGGGGGACCATGGAGCCAGAAGGGCGACCCCTCACCCCAGGGACCAGCTATGGGCCCCCACCCTTCAACTCAGCACAAAACCCTGCCACCTTCCTCAACTGCACCTTACAGGTAAAGACATCATCAGCCGTAGCATGCATCGCTCTCTTTCCCCTTATCTGACCATCTGTACATTTCTATCGTCGCCTCCAGTCCTCATGTTCTCCAGATGTGAGGGACGGCCTGATGTCTGGCAAATGCTCGTGGGGCCACGCTGGAGATGAGGGCCCCAAGCAGAGCGAGGGCACTCAGCCCAGTGTAGACCCAGGGAGGAGTGCACAGAGGAGATTCAGGTCCTCAGCCTTTCCTTCCTCCCTAAGCTGGGACTCTGACTCTGAGAAAGAAACACTAGATGGTAACACATGGCTTAATATCTATCAGAAACCTGTTGCACACTTCTCAGCAGTAGCACAGTAGTGATACACAGCAAAGCTAGAAGTAGCTCTGAATTTAGATATGTTATATATATATATATAATTGTTGTCCTCTTATTGTTCTAAATGTCTGCATGTAGTCTCTCATCTTTCTCTCTCTATGTAACCGGAGTATGCACTGTATTTATGACTGTGGATTGTAACTGTTAAGCTGTGAAGTGATGTTCCTGTGGTTGTGTGTTTTGTGTGCTGTTATGTGTCAGAGGAGGAGCTACAGCACTTTTCTAACCCTCATGGTCTGGCTGCTCACAGCCCAGGATCTCCTTCTTCTGGACTCAGGTGAGGAGGAGGTACAGGACGAAGAGTATAGCGAGTTGTTTAATGGTGAAATCATCTGTAAAAAATACAGACAGAGACATCAAAAGCATCAAAGGCAGATCTTTAGTTTTAGTAAATATAATCAGGGCCGAAGCTAGGATTTCTGAGGTCATGAGTTGTAGTGCACCCTCCCACCAACAAGCAAATTATTAGATTTTTTTTACAATATATAATTGATTTATTTAACTAAAGTTTAATTTGAATGTACCAGCTGTTCAAAGCATTTTTTACAGAGTTACATGAGAAGATTGACCCCACTCTCGGTCTACACAGTAAATATGAAGCCACAACCAGCAGTGGGTTAGCTTAGCTTAGCATAAACTGGAAACGGCATCAGATGTCATATTGACATATACAAAGTCTACAAATACTACAATCAGCATGTAAAAAAATACTCATCACGTGTATGTTTTTAATCGCACTCCCTCAAAATCCCCCTAAAACCCACAAAACTTCCAGAAAAAGTAGCGAGGACATGACCTCAGTGTCCTCACTGGTAACTGATCTGTAACTGTGTCTTGTTTCAGGCAGAGATGCTGCTTTCAAATGTCACAAATGACAAATGTCATGTAATGTATTTCCTTTCCGATGCTGTCCAGACTTGATAGTGAAGATTACCAAGACCCTGAAAAAGTGCAGCACTTGCATGGCGAGACTGACTCGCCTGCCCCCGCGGATGAACACAGCGACAACAATGAGAGCACAAAGACCGAAGAGCCAAACACATCTCAGCTTGGCCCAACAGAATGTAAGTACCATAAGGAAGAAACAATATGTGTCCGCACACTTGATATCTTTCTTTTTATCTTAAGACGCCGTTCATTCATAATTCCTCTGTTTTCTCTTCGCAGTGGCAGACAACAAAGTCTGGAATGTATCTGAGGGAGCTGAGCTGTTTCTGGCCAAAGTAAAACCAAAGGAAGGTTGCCAAATGGAGGAGGAGGCGGACAATAGTGAGGGAGAGAAAAGGCCCAAGGGAAAAGAAACTAAGGAGCCTGAGAGAGATGTGTACAGCTTCCCTGGAGACTCAGACCCAGAGAGTCCCCCTCCTGCCCCCTGGGCTCACTGCACATTCATTCAGCGGTGCAGAAAGAAGAGGGTGCTGCTCAGGCCCTTCTCCGGACTTGGCACCTTGAAGCGCACATTGCCTGAGACTGGCAAGCGAGCAAGAGTGAGTCCTCAAAAATCAAAACCTGCTGAGCCTGCACAGCTGAATCGAGGCGCAGGGGTTTATGATTTCGAGGAAGTCAACTTTGGAGAGGGACCAGTGGAAGAACCGATAAAGTTCAGAGACAGAGGAGGGAAACGAGACAAAGAAAGTGAGGTGGTGCCAGGTAAAGAAATCTTCACCTGTGTGGAATGTAGCATTTACTTCAAAAAACAGGTCCATCTGCAGGAGCACATAGTCGAGCACTGTGAGAGTGGTGCAGGGGGTGGGAGGCGTTTAGGAAAGGGCGGCCGTTTTCGGTGTATCGAGTGTGGATGGAACCTGCCAAATCGGCTCGCACTGGCAGACCACCACAGAAGGCACCAGGAGTCCCGTTTGAAGATCTTGGAGGAGATTGAGAAACTAAATGAAAATGGGAAGGCAAGGGAGATTCAGACACTCGACAGTAAGGTTGCGAAGCATATAAGCCCAGACCCAGCTATTATGCAAGACGCAAGCACAGCCTCTATTCCAGGCAAAGAGTCAGACACAGAAATAGTCTCATCTCCACCTCTTTCCCCAGCCCCAGTTTCAACACCAGACGCAGACCCAGCACTTCTCGACTCAGATGCGACTCCTCCGAATTCAGCTCGCACTTCAGCTCAGGCCCGAGCTGTTTCCACCTACCGCCGCCGCTTTGTCTGCACCAATTGTAACTTCAGCACAAGAACCTCCCAGGCGCTGGCTAATCACACCAAGACCCACAACAGGAAAAAACCTGCTCTCCAGGCTGACTCTCCATCCCCTGGTTCCCCATCATGTGTGGCATCCTCTTCCCTGGCCTGTGGTCATTGTGCCTTCGTGACCTCAAGTCAGACTGTAATGAGGGAGCACCAGAAACTCGTTCACCCAGGACAGGTTGCCATCAGTGGGGTGCAGGCTGATTCCACTGGCCAGCATTCAAGATCTAATGTGGGTGCTCGAATTTCAAAACCCACCCTAGATTCTGACCACCTCTCTGGGTCTGGAACTGGATCCCTGTCTGATGCAACTCAAGGCAAAAGCCAGCAAGAAGTCACTGCCTCTGAGGACAGCACAATAGCAGACAGCGCTGCAGCTCAGCCCACAAGCCAGGTGGTTCTGAAGTGTGTTGGGAACAGGAGATTCAGCAGAAGAGGGAAGACATGGCCTGATCTGGCAAAGTTTCACTCCAGACTGGATGATGACAAACTGTCCGGGAGCGAAGAAGAGGAGCAGGACGGAGATCAGAGCACAGAGCTTGACACTGAGTGTTCCCAGCAAGAAGCCAACTCATCTGTTGGAGTGAAACCGCAAACCAGAGCACGATCAAACACAGGTGAGACTCAGCGTTGTCACATATCATCGATTGCACATACATGCTCACAAACCAGATGTGAGAACTCTGTTTTTAAAATTTGGATATATTTCCCTAGAACCACAGATTTTATCTTACTTGCTCATAGCTTTGTGTTGCAACTGCACAGAAAACCTGATCATACAGGAAAGATTAAAGCTGCACTAATCAATATTTTCAGTATAAACAATGGATCAAATAACTATGTGTAATGTGAAATGTGTCGCTTGTAGTGCCAAAACCAAACAGATTTATCACCCGACTCTGCAGTTCACCTCATCTTAAAGCTAATTATTTCGATTTTTCTGGCCCGCTTTACTGCTTTGGTTCACCCTTACCGCTCACATATTGTCGTTTCTAGGCTTCTGCAGGCAGCTGTTTTCAGTGGAAAAGCTATAAAAATCCACAGTGCCCAGTACCCAACAGCTGACAGTAAAAGGTAGTGACTAGCTGGTGAACATAATGGAACATTTAGCAGCTAAAGAACCAGATATTTCTCTCAGGAGTTGGTGGAAACTAAAATAGTGCTAAAAGTAGAGTGAATATTGGACAGCACACGACTACAAAGGAATACTAATAACTGCAGGATGTGTAAATAAGCAGCTGCTTGCTAACACTACCAACCATTAACAACTTTATTATGCCAGTATGCACTCCTTCAGAAATATTCCTTTTATGTATGCAAACTCTTACAGAAAGCTGGTTATGGGTGTGCATAGATCATTTCTGTAGCAGAAGTTTAGCTGTGTTAGCATTTTGGATCACTCTACCTGAAAGAGTAATCAGATTAAAGGTCTAGTGGTGTTAACACTTTCGTTTAGGAAGGATTATTGGGCGAAATGGAATATAATATTCAATCAGGAAATGTTTTTTATTGTGTACAATCACCTGAATATAGGAATCGTGTTTTCATTAACATAGAATGAGCAGTTTTTCTCTACAGACGCCACGGGTCGCCTTCTAAGAACATGAACTTCCATGTTTCCACAGTAGCCCAGAAGGTACATTTCACAGCCACCGTAGTTTCTCGTTCGCTCTTTGAAGGGGAGGGTGAATCGTGGCCCGTAGTTGCCACTAAATCTTACCTTTTAATGCAAGAACTGGGGAATAATCAGATTACTCAAATTAAAATTATTGAGTGTAGAGGTTAAACATAAATACTTGATGGCATTAGAGATGGACTTTAAGAGCTGCTCATATAGTAATTCAAGTGTGCATACTGTTGCAATTTAAGTAGGATTTGTCTGTTTATTCCACATTGATTTTTTTGTCTTTATAGATGACTGTTCAGCGCAGCAGAGTTCTACATTATCGCTCTCTCCGAAGAAGAGTGTGAAGGACGAAGACAAGCTGGAAGTGGAGAAAGATGGAAAGGTTTTCTTTTTGAGGAGGAGCAACAGGGTTTCCGCTGCTCCTGCAGAAATTGACAGTGATGATGATGACGACGACATTGACGAGGAACGCGTGCGACGTTTCCTGTCAGAGGGCCTCTTGGATGAAGACGACGACGAGATTGATGAGGACACGGAGGCGCTCAAGAGTGTGGAGAGGAAATGCCCCTACTGCCCCGATCGATTTCATAATGGCATTGGGCTTGCCAATCACGTGAGAGGCCACCTGAACCGAGTGGGCGTCAGCTACAATGTGCGTCACTTCATATCCCCCGAGGAAGTCAATGCGATTGAGAAGAAGTTCTCCTATCAGAAGAAGAAAAAAAAAGGTCAGCAGCTTGTTGAATGTATTTGTTAAGCTGTGTGGATGAGCAGAATTGCCTTTTGAGTTGTCTTTCTTTTTAATACATTATGCTTGGCACAATGACCCTGACGTGAGCTGTAAGTATATTAGCCAAGTGTAGAGTATTTGTTTCTTTATTTTTTTCAAAATCAAAAAGGCACATCATATTCAAGAGAATAAACAGAACAACTGAGTGACAACAATAACAAATAAAAATGGAAATTACAAGACAAACATAAATAATAATGGAAAAAAACTAAAACAATTGTTCAATCAGGAATTAAGTTACATATATAATCATAATCACTTAAATGCCTGATTCAGCAGAACACATACTACAAACTTGGGTGTTTTCTTTGTTGTGGAGCTCCTCTCGCTCTAAATTTAATTTAATTTTCCCATCTGGTAGCACTTTATGTGAACTGCTTTCAGAAGTGGTTGCTATAATGTAAAGCAGTGGTTCCCAACATGGGGAAGCAAGGGTCACAACATAAATCTGAATGGTTGCAAGAAAAAGGTACAGTGTTAAGCATATTCACCATCTTAGCATTCTAGCACTCTATGATTTTCTATTTAGCACTAAACACAAAGTACAGGTGATGACATTGCCATTCACCACTAGCATGAGTTAAAGTGACCCTTTAGTTGAACTTGTCACAAGTTCAGCTTGTGAACCAAAGCTATAAACACACTGATTTGATTCAAGGGGTCACAAGTCAAAGAGGCACACAGCTGTCAGTCAGTCCACAGCTGTCCAGTA